CTGTTACAAGATTGATTGTTTTCTTTCCCACTGAGGTGGAGATTGCTGGTTGGCTGTGAGCTTGAACGTCACGTGATCAGGAACTAAAAAAATGAAAAAATTCTTTTTATATTGATTCTTTAGTGCTTACAAAAGCCTTTAACATTGTCTTGGAGGCACAATCGCCAACCACGTAGTGTCACAATAAACCCGAAACTAACTTAAAATACTGTTCCATGATGATTGTTTAGGACTGCTGCACAAACGATGCAACGCATACGATGGCGGAATTTCCATGTCCCGAATTGGGCGTATTGCTGCAGTGCAGTGTTTTTCAGGATTTTAGAGCTAATTTATTAACTGAATTGACGTTGTATGTGACTTTAGCGAAGGGATTAGGTAGGATGCTGGCCATGTCGGCGGCTGCACTACGATGCAACAGCAATTATTACAAAGCATTTAAGCTATGAGAATGCTTCAGGTGCGAACACAATATTTGACAGACACCGCTCTGCTGCAGTTGTGTACCCTTGGCACCGGACCGTTTTTTGTGGATAATGTTGGCGAGCTGCAGATGCAATCGATTACGCTTCTTTCAGCAATTTTCTCCCGTCATGATCACTGTCGGCAAAACATAGTTCAGGTTTGTTTGATACTGCTTGATCCTTTCCAGCATTCAGCAATGGCTGGGATTGATATCCTACAGCAATAATGTAACTCAACCTGTTTCGACCTCGTTTGCTTAATTTAGTGATTTGGATTTAAATTTTCTCCTTACGAATTGGAGCACGCCTTCAATTGCTTTTTATGCATTTTCTGCATCTAAGCAGTGCAAAAACGCATATTGTCGAGGGATTGTCTCTATCGTTTTTTATCTCGTCACCTACAGGAGCTACAGAACTGAGACTTTCTTATCGACTCAGTTTGCTATAGTTGTCGTTTAAAGTGCATGCATGGCGTTGTGGCTTGAAGTGCGTGATGATGTCTTTTCTCTGTAAAAACAGTATACGACATTTTTTCATTTTTGTGAGTAAAAAAACAAATTTTTGCAAGTAAGTAAAAAAACAATTTTTTGTAAGAATTTAATTG